ACCCCTAAAATTTCATGATTCTATGATAATGTCATTGGATACTGGCTTGATACACTATTTATGTTGGATCTAGTGTGAGCTTATCAGCTGAGGACTGAGCAGTGTCCTCTGGGTGTGAATTGTAACATGTTTGAGAGTGGAAAATGGATGTGTTGGAGGGGGTCAGAAGACACATTGCTTGTGGCAGAATTGGGGTTGTGCATCCTGCAGGAGAGATGGCTTCAGGGACACTGTACCCTGGCCTTCGAGTACATAAAGAGGGCTTTTTACCAGGGCTCGTAGGAACAAGGCATGGGGCAGTGGTTTCAAACTGAAATAGGTAGGTTTAGATTGGGCAGTAGGATGACATTTTTGATGAGAGTGCTGAGGCAGTGGAACAGGTTGCCCAGGAAGTTGTGGATGTCCCGTGCCTGGAAGTGTTTGAAGGCCAGGTTGAACCCAGCCACAATGGTTTTGAGAGCTGTGATGAAACCTCCATTACTTACAGAAGGATGGATTGCCCCAAGCCAGCCATAGTGTTGATGTAGTTTGCACGGATTCTGGCTCACCACTATGAGAAGAATGGGGCTGGATAATCAAGAGATCACAGTTAATCTGTGAAATCTTGTTTGGACCTTTTTGTGCTTTCTTAGTACAGAATGCAATTATCCTGCAAAAATCTTGAAATCAATTTGGCTAATAATACTTATTTATCCTTTTGCTCCCTTGACTCAATCTCAAAACCTAAGAGCTGATTGACTCCCAAATTGGTTTGCCTCTCAAAGCAATCTTTGTTCTTTTAGACTGTTCTGTAGAAAGAATCTTTCCCAGTTCTTACTTTAAAACTAGGTAACAGCTGTGGTAGGTAGTGGTTTTTTCTTTGGAGATTAACTGATATTTATAACCTTTTTCTCAGAGTTTGCAGGTTACTTGCAACTACAGAAGAACTGTGATTGTGATGTTTTATGCTTGAAAGATGGCAATGAACGACAGCATTAGTATCTTGAACTCTGCGTATCTGGCAGTGGAATATATAGACTCTTTCTTGCCTGACAATCCCCTGCAGCAACCGTTTAAAAATGCCTGGAATTACATGCTGGAGAACTACACAAAGTTCCAGATTGCAACTTGGGGATCACTTCTAGTTCATGAAGTTGCATACTTTTTGTTCTGCTTACCTGGATTTATCTTTCAGTTCATACCGTACATGCAGAAGTACAAGATTCAGCAGGTAAGAGAAAGTTCCTGATTTGTCTTTGAACATATCCAACAGAGCATGTAGCCACAGTGTCTTAGTTCCAATGTATATGGCCCCGTTTCATCTGTTGGTTGTATGTCCTGGAAATGACAAAGCAAAATTACAATGTGTGTGAGGAGAGAAAGAGGAGAGAATTTGGGGGAAGAAAAGTAGTTAGGTATTACAGTAATTGGTAAAATGTCGCCCTGCAAAAACGGGATCTTTTCAAGACAGTATGTTTCTTCATAAGCTTAGATCTTTAGCTTCTCTTTGTATTATTTTAGCTATGGAAATACATTCTGTGGTGTGTAAAAGAAAAGCGACCTTGGATTGTGTTAAACTCTTGCGTATGAAATGTTCCCTTTAACTACAAACACTGAAATAACAAAAGTAGTTTGGGGTGACTGGTGAGACAACTTCTCTTCAAATGCTAGCTTATTAAAACAAGAGGCTTTGATGAAACTGAATCCAGTTCCATGTCATTTGTGTTGCCTGAGTTAATTTGTATTATTGGAAGACATGCTGTTAGTCTTCCACGGTGAAATTAAGCTGACTCCAAGTGAAATTTGCAGCATTTCAGTTATGTGCAATAGAAACACGTAACGCAACCAATTCTTTTTTCTTCTTCTTAGGATAAACCAGAAACATGGGAAAAACAGTGGAAGTGTTTCAAGAAACTCCTCTTCAGCCACTTCTGCATTCAGCTTCCTATGATTTGTGGCATCTATTCCTACACAGAATATTTTGACATCTCATATGAGTGGGAAGAAATGCCTAGATGGTAGGTAGATTCTTCTGCTATGTTGATGCTCAGTTACGTACAGTTGGAGGCAGAATATTTAGCAATGAATGTCATCAATTCTAATAGACGATAATTTTTTGGCAATGTAAACTATGTTTTTTAATCTTCCTTCTGTTGATGCTTAACTGCTGTAAGAGCTAATTAGAATTTCCTCGACTTTTTTTTTTTCAATAGCCCCAAATTGCTCTGATCCTCAGAAGAGGGGGGGAATTAGGAGGCAGTTTCTGGAAGCAAAACAAGATTCATGATGGCACGAGTTCAGTGTTGGACTTTCTAGGGGGGTTATTTGTCCAAATTCTTGTTTTATATCAGCACTGGTGTGTTTCTCAAAGGAGAGAACCTTTGAGGCCAGCTGCTTCACAGTCTCCTTTTCTAGCACCAAACTGATAGGCTTTTAAACAAAGCTGAATCAGCTGAAGTGCCTCTTCCTCTCCCACCCCCTGCCTCGATAGCAGCTCTTTACCATGGAAGGTCATGTTTCTTGGAAAGCTTTGATTTCTGGTTTAGGTAGCTGATGCAACTCTTTATTTTTATATTGAGGTTTTACACAGTCTGTGCATGTTCCCTACAGGCTGCTTGTGTAATACTGACATCACACCTTGTTACAGTGTGTACTAACTCACTTCAGCCTGTCAACAGATGAGCTGAGAAGCATAATAGCATTTATACCTGGTAATTAAAACTTCTAGCATGTTAATAAAGCAGTGTCAGTGCACTGTTATTAAGTCAGTAATACGCATAAACATTTCCAACCCTTAGTAACATACAAGCTATTTTCTCTTCCAGGATTGTGCATCTGCTAGTATATTCCATAACTAATAGCTCTTCTGCTTTTTAAAGGTATGTGCTGCTTGCCCAGTGTTTCGGATGTGCAGTGATTGAGGATGCCTGGCATTATTTCCTGCATAGATTGCTGCATCACAAGAGAATATACAAGTATATCCATAAGGTTCACCATGAGTTTGTTGTATGTATTCCTTGATTTTTTTCTTGAATAATAGTTTTTAGTATACGTTTCGTACAATTTATTTAAACATCTCATTTGTAAGACTTAAGAACTTTGCATCCCTCTTGACTGTGGGATAGGTGTCTTGTCTTGAGCTCTTGTCAAGAACAGTCATCCACTTTGTTTCTGAAAACAGCTCTTGTAATTTTATTTCATTTCATGAGAATGAAAGATCACACTCTTGCTAAAGGTTGATCATACCTGTTGAGCTAAGTGAAGCAGGCTTTTAAAAGCATGCCTACAGGTCTCATTGTTGGGGAAGGGAAAACAGTAGGTTTCTGGGTTTGGTTGTTCATCACTTCCACACCACCTGGGCTGTTAGTCAGAGCATACCAATCCACAGAACATGATCAGGCAGGTGCCTCTTGCACAACCTGGACATACTTGATTCAGGGAAGGATTACAGCTTCTGAGCCTCTGGAAGCAGTATGGCCTGTTGTGCCATACTGCATTGAGACCACAGTGCAGCACAGATGTTTTGGATGGTTCTGCATTTTGTGGTGATGGAGCTGGCATTGAACACCAGGCAATGAGCCACACTTGACTGGGGGTGACACTGTTCTGAACCAGGTAGGGTCCAGCAAGTGCTTACACCTTATAGTTAGTACTGCTGTGTTCAGCTGGCACTGCCCCTGGATCACAGGAGTCAGTGCTACAGCATTTGTGTACTGCTGTGTTTCAGTGTAACCTACACTGTGCTGACAGTGAACTGCAGGCTAGTGGGTCAGGGATGGTATATACATGCTGCCAGTAATATAGGAGCTTAGTATTGATTGATGCATACATGTGCACATACATCTGCAACAGCAGCTGCTCTTTTCCTCTTGTTTTGGCAGCCCCTCAGATCTCTAGCCAGGGCAGCTTTTGGCCATTATTCCTGGAAGTGGTTAGCAGTTCTCACAGAAGTGATTTATAGGCTAATGGTTGTTTCACTAAAAACTTTCCCTGATACTAAAAATTGATGATGTTAAAATATCCCTTAAGACAAAGTGGTTGTTATTTTTTTTCTGATGATCAAATCTATAACCTTCAGCATTAGGTTAAAATTTGTTAAACTGTTCTCTGTGTATAGTGGTGTCCTTTTGAAAATGTTGGAATGCTTTTTTTTTGGCAAACGTAGAAATGACTGGTGTGTGTCTATATATATAAAAGAAAATGTTTTACTTCAATCTCAAGAGAACACCTGAACGGTACAAATTTATTTTAAAAATGAGGAGTTTTTTAATTCTTATTTTCATAATAAATTTTAAGTGAATCTTGCTTCTGAGACTATTTTGGCTTCCTTGTTTATTCTGCTTCCAAGACTGGAAGTATAGCAAAGCTGATAGGAGCTTGCCAAACACTAATATTCCTGAAATAATGCTTTGACCTGGGGTAATGGTAAGCCTAAATACAATTTTTAAACTTTTCAACTAGTAGTGAAGTGTTTGGAATCACTAATGGAATGATAATCCCTGTGACCTTGGAATACTAGTTTCCCAACAAGGAGCTGAGTATGTGTTAAGGCCCTTGCTCAATCATACCATTTCCTTTGCCCCCAGCATCATTCTGGTTGCCCTACTGAGGTCTTGTGGGGGAAGGGGAAGGGGAGAGCATCATGAAATGGTGATTCTGATTTGGGGGTATATTAAACTGAAAATGGTGACTGCTTCTTGTTCTGTTATATCTTTCTAGTCTCCATTTGGAATGCAAGCAGAATATGCTCATCCTCTGGAAACAATTATCCTTGGAACTGGCTTTTTTATTGGAATTGCTGTTTTCTGTAACCATGTGATTCTTCTGTGGGCATGGGTGGTATGTCGCTTGATTGAGACCATTGATGTACACAGGTGAAATGCTCACTGCTTTTTAATGATTGCTTTCTCTCTTGTCTTTAGTCTGTCTCAAAGTTACCTGTCTCTTTCACTGAGATGTAGTTTGTTCTGCACTGAAATGCTTTTATGTGTCTTAGAAAAAATGACACAACATGAACAGTTATCACCATTTCCTGTTTTGAGGTAGTGTTAACAGGAAGTCTTGATGATTAAAGCAATGTGGACTATCAGCTAGAGCAATTCAGGGACTGTTTAAGAAGCAAGGTGCCTCATTAGGATGTCTGGCTCTTGATATTTGGTGTACAAGTGATCTTATGCGTATTAGAACACCAAAAATACATCAGAAAAAGAAATATTCCAAGAGATTTTTCTGTTTCATAGTTTGTCAGACTGTTTTATTGGTCAAGAGAAACTTTATGCCATATGATCACTGACTTTCTTTAAAATAAGTACATATATTTCTTTTGTTTATTTATTTATTGTACCTAAAAAGGACAAGATTTCTTGTCTCTGTAGTAAAATTGACATGTCAAATTTGGCTCCAAAATGCCTGTGCAAATCCCAGTAGGCTTAGTTTCATTCATCTACAAATAAATGAGCTTTTCTTTCCTGTGGTTGAGAGGAAGGGGATACTAAGAGTTCATTTCTGAAATGCTAGCATTGCACTTGGCCTTGTCTCTGTAAATATGTTATGAAACATACAGTGTCTTATTGCAAGTTGAGTATTTTAGTGGAACATGAGCTACTAGTGAACTCATCATATAAAGCATTGCTGATTTAGTTATGTATTGCTTGTAGGCTGAGAAGTATATGTTAAAGTAATTGATGCAAAATATGAATTTCCTTTGATAATTATCATTTTAGTTTGTTGTCCACATGAGGCATTTATAACAAATTTCCTTGTGCTTTCCCCACTAGGTGGTGGTAGGATGCTTCCCAGTACTACTAAGCGAGCATTGAAATCCCTCTAAAGCAAACTGTTCTGCTTTTAATATTAATCATACTTAAATTCTACATATTTTAGGAACTTGCAGTAAGTTGAAAATAAGAGTAGAAATACTGCAACTGTAGTTGATTTGGGATGCTCTCTTATGAGCCACTGAGCTGATGTTCCCAACTTGTCATTGTTACTATTTGTTCCAGCTTCCTAATGTTACTCTTAGTCAGTTAAAACTGCTAAGCCAGCAGGAAGTCAGCCACTGTGATTTTTTTTTTTAGGTTACTTGCTTAAATTCTTTTGTATTGCCTAGTAAACAGAGCTGACTAGGTGAGCAAGTGCCAAAGCCATTACAGGCTAGTTTACAGAATCATTTGGTTAGGATTGGAGGGATCTGGTTTTCATATTAAGCCAGTATTACAGTGGATACCTCAGGGCCTTAGAATACCAAAAAAATACTTTTATTCTATAAAAATGGCAAGTTAATGACCATAGTTTGTAGCTTATGTCTGGGAAAAATCCTTACCATAGTTGCTTTTCTTTTTTTTCTCCCCTGTAGTGGCTATGATGTTCCACTGAACCCTCTTCATTTGGTGCCTTTCTATGCTGGTGCCCGTTTCCATGATTTCCATCACATGAACTTTATTGGCAACTACGCTTCAACCTTCACGTGGTGGGACAGACTCTTTGGTACAGACTCTCAATTCACTGCCTATCAAGAAAAAGATAAGAAGCAAGAATTCTTAAAAAAGAAGAAGGCTAACTAAATTTCCAGTGTAAAAGTCAACTTTTGCTTTTCTGTAAAGCAAAATAATGATTGGGTGTTTAGCTTAAATCATGTTCCTTGGCTACTAAGGGATAGGGAAAAATGGCTAATTAAACTGCAGTATCTTTCTAATGGGAATGTCTTCTATTTTATACATAAGTACTGCATATATTTTAACTACAGATTTAAAGATGATGCAAAAAAACTGAGATGATGACTTGTGTCTATCTTGGAGGTTTTTTCGGACCAAAAAAGAAATCACTTTTATCTCTAATGTTGCCCACTTTGGATCCACGTAGAATTGTATAGGTATACTGAAGTTGCTCTTATTTTTGTTAAATATATATTCTTAAATTTGTAATATCAAATAGCAGAAGATATGAAGTAGTATCAGCACTGTATTATTTAAATATTGAGTAAAATTGCTTAAAACAAAAACATCTGTTACTAGGAAGCTTGGACAGGTCTTTGCACACTGGATAATGTGAGCTGCTAATAACAGAGTATCTGGCTAAACATGAGCTAGCAGAGACATTCCTGACCTAGATTTATTATGTTACTTCAGAATGCAGGTTAAAAGAATAGAAATTTTTATTTGAAGAAACTGGTTCTTTGCTGCTCTTTTGAAGTTGGTCTGTCAGTGTAATTAGCATTTACATTACATTCTTCTCTATGTGTTGTAATTTGCTGAACTGACTTGTTGCTATATTTGCACTTGTGACTGATGAAATAAATGTGGTTTGGTTTGATGTGTGTGTTATACTTTTCATATGTTTTGAAATACATGTGATAAAAGCACATAGGATACAGCATCTTACTCTTCATTTCTTTAATGAAGAAGCATTATTTGTTAGTAAGGTTTGCAGCAGTTACTTCTGTTAAACTACTTCCAGAGACAGCAGTAAGAAATGGAAATGGAGAACATCTCAAATTCTGCTGGTCTGTGTTTTGAAGGACTTGGATACATAACTGCTCAGTGTAGCAACAACCTTTGGGCCAAGTGCATTCTCAAGCTACAGCTTGATCACAAGCTAGAAACTCAAAATTTATTCTTTGAGTTGTACTAGCAACAGTCGACTATTGTTGAATCTGCTATAAATATTTGCCTGTTGCACAGGAAGTAACAGTGGAAGTACCTGAGAAGGGTTAAACCCTTACAAAGATCTTGCACTTTGTATATTCATTGCAGCTGCTCTTCAAACTTCAAATGCCACTTCATCTACTCCATAAGTCCTTTAGAGAACTTTTACAGTGTTTTGCTTACTCAAGCCCACACCTGAATTTTCATGCTGCTTCACATGCAGTCTGGTATAATACTCAAATCAGGCACTCCAGTGACAGCGCAGAGGAGATCAGGGTTCTAAGACAACACAAGGCATTAATGATATTCAGAATTACTCAAATCTTCCTTGAGATGTGGGAGTAGTTCAGATTCCTCTTTGCATGTATTTTGTAGAAGCTTTCACCTCTCTATCTGTATCCATGTTGAAATTCAGTGTTCTTCCTCTCCCCTCTAAAAAGTAAAAATATTTGACTGTGGCAGGTGAATGAAAGCTGAAATCCCTGTATTGTTCACTTTTTAGCAAGGACTGGTACTTAAGACTTCCTGAATCCATATACACTGCTGGCCTGAACTCTCTCCATGGTGGAAGTGACCTCTAATGAGATTTCAAAGATGGCCATTATCCTCTGCTTTGTCAACTCCCACTCCCATCCTGCAGCTGCAGCTATACTTAGCTTTATTTTACTGAGCCTAAAAACACAAGGAGCTCTTAGTACTTCAGATTTTCCCCATGTACATCATTCTGTTCATAGGTTCTCAGCCCACTGATTTGTGCCTACATACACAGTGTCATAAAATTCCATACGACTGTGAGCCAATTGCTTAAATATTCCCGTAACAGTGTTTGTAAGTGCCTAGTGTCTTCTTAGCTACTGGAAAGCTCAGAGTGTGGAAAGCTTGATGGGATTGACTTACAAAGTTGCAATGTTTACTCCATTACAAGAGGTTTAAAAGTGAAGAATGCTATCATTTGGGGTAGTGTGCATCAGGTATTTTTGGACCTTCATCCATTACTCGAACCCATGTTTTTCTGACACCCATTGCTATTTTTGTTCTTTGGGTTATTTTATCTACATTCCAGTGTACAGTGTGATCATCTAATTGCTTTTGATCCTCTTTCTTTAACAAATCCCTGGAGAATTTATGCGAGCTGTGCTTTATAAATTCATTTTTTGTGAAGAAAAGGCACCTGCAGGAACTCGCATTTGAAAATGACAGACTTGTTTTGCTGCAGGACTCAGACCTGCATTTTACCACCACCACACCACCTTTGCAAATGTAGAACCTTGTATTTTTTGCTGAACATGATGATGGTGAGTATATGACCTACCTCATTACCTTCTATTAAGAACTGTGTTAGGCAGTTACATTTTTGAGATTTTAGGCCTTTACTCAATAAGACTTTACTGATTTTTCCCCCCATATTTAGTGAGAGAGGCTATAGAATATGTGTAGTTCTGAAAACAGAGGTTTTTGTGTAATAGAACAACATATGGCTAGCAGTTTTGGGTCTTCACAATGCACAACAAAACCTTACACAATCCTTTCTCCTCTTTATAAAGGAGGCAGATTTAAGTCTTAAACATGGTAGGATAGGGGAATAAGCAGGGGAGGATCATTTTCCACTACATGATCTTTTCCTGAAAGTCCAGTTTAGTTTAAGTAAGGCTCATCTGTGGGAAACAATAGTTTGTACTCTCCCTTAGGATATGACAATAGTTAAGTCCTATGAAGGCAATTAATTAATTTCTTGGGATTTATGGCATAAAAACATGGAAACTTGTAAAGCATAATAAATTGGTAAGATTAGGATTGCAAAATAATCAACTGCTTTTGCCAGCTGATGTGAAATACTAAAAAAGGTAGTTTATTTTGCACTACATCACAGCTTGCCAGAAAAAATGATGATTGATATTATATTTGCAGAATATATGACTTCATTTATTTTTCGCACAGAGTTTATAATAAATGCTGCATATTTTATGATATTTTAAAGAATGTGTTACATGTTTCTAGATTTTGAACATTTCTGTTGAAAACTTGTATCATTGAAACCTACATTATGGCTCAGTATATACAGTGGGAGGAAAAAGGAGGAAGCAGGAGACATTTATAGTGATGCTGTTTGCCTTCCCAAGGAACCGTTACGCGTGATGGGGCCCTGCTCTCCTGGAGATGGCTGAACACCTCCTGTCTGTGGGAAGCAGTGAATTAATTCCTTGTTCTGCTTTGTGTGTGCACCTTTTGCTTTCTCTATTAAACTGTCTTTATCTCAACCCATAAGTTTTCTACCTTTTACCCTTCTGATTCCCTTCCCCATCCCACTGGTAGGAGAGTGACCAAGTAGCTGCGTGGGGCTTGGTTGCTGCCTGGGGTTAAACCATGACATCCAGGGAGAAGGCAGCTTTGTGCCACTGGTTCTTGCTATAATTTTCTGCCTGTGAAGGTAATAAATACAGGAGTCAAATTGCTTTTCAGTTGTAGCTTTCACCAGCTAACCAGATTGGATGACATCCTCCACAGTAAAGCACTTCCTCTGTTTCTCAATCACTTGTATGCCTTTTCTCTGAATTTTCTCTGGATTTTCACAGTATTGCTTTAGCTGTAGATACCAGAACTGTGTGTCCAGTGTGTAAGTGTGAATGTCAGGTATGTTTTGTATGAAATTTAAGTTGCAGACTATAAAGAGGCTCAAGGCAGAATTGTTAAACGTGTGAGATGTTCACTACCCAGCAAGAGCACAGTAAGCTCTTAAATACCTATAGGGTTATGTTTCATTCACATGTGTGACTCATCTAACAGCTGGACACAGTAAGAGACTCAGTGTGGCAGTACACAGCTTGGAAAGTGGGTGTTCTTTTTCCCTCCCCCTTTCTGTAATCCTGCATAAGTGACTTGCCTGTATTTGTATTTTTTCAAAAAAATGTATTTCCTTTGCCCTGCCTCACATTAAGTCCCTTCTGCAGGTACTGGGAAAGCTGCAACTTTCCATATCTCAATCCTGTTTTGCAAGCATCTAAGAAATAGAGACACTGAGCTGTACAAGGCATTTTGAAGGTTGTTAATAGATGCTTCTGCCTTGAAGACATAGCCTCAAGTGATCAGAGCTGCCAGGTGCAGTATAGGTATATACAATCAGTATTCCAATAAGTTTTGTAAATCTTACAGCTACAGTTATCTCTATCTACTTGCCTGGTAATTTGTTCATACTGAGATCAATGGTTCTCTCTTTCAAATTGATTTGAGATATTTTATTCCTAGCATTAATTTCTTGATCGAAAGCCTAAACAACTTTTACCTGTCTTATAGGTCATATATGGTCCATAGTTGGGATTTTTGTTTTTGAATAGTTGTGCCATGTTAATGTTGTTTCAGAATTTTTCCAAGGCTTGGAAATGCAATATAACTGGATACTAGCAAGCCAAAGAGAGCCCTCCTCAAATGGGGGCTTAATGATTTGATCTTGCTGACCTGAACATGCATCCTTCCTTATGCATTATGTTTAGCATCCTACTTGCTTATATATATGTTAGAAAACACTGTCTTCCTCATGCAGTATAGTGACCTCCTTACTTCTGTCCAAATATAAACCAGAGATGTTTAGTGAATGTTTCCATGATGTAATTATTAACAGTAGTTTGTTATTAAAAATTTAAATATCTGATCTCCATCATAGAGTGTTTTTAGGATTTGATTTGTTCCTAATGCACTTCTACTGTTTGTAATGGACATGGTTTTAGGGTTCTCTTTTTGTGTAATAAAAGAAGATAGTTGCCTCAGCCTGTTTGTCTTGTCACTACAAAAAGGGTGCAAAGTTACTCAAGTATTGTAAGTAAAACTCTCTGAGTGTGAGTTTATTTTGGAAAATTTATTTATATACTTGGTGAATCGAATTGCTGAAAAAAACAGATTCAGACAAGTAAAAAGTACTGGAAAATTTGAATCAGCAAATTCTGTTTGACCAAAAGAATGGAGTAATCTGTAAATATATATGAATATTATATGTATGTTTGTGTGTAAATGTAGATTTGTCTATAAATAAGTACTTTTGGAAATGTCAGTGAAATTTTTTTCATCATTACCGAATTGTTTAGGCTGTGTCTGTTGGCACAATATAACCTACTATTTGTTGTCTTAGACAGACATGTAAGAGAGGTAAACCAGATTTGAAATCTGCTGATCAGGACATTTCCTGGAGCACTTGTGCTCTGCTCACTGCTGTAATTGGTATTATCAGCTTACAGGGCCATACTCAGATGCCTGGTTATGCATATAGGCTGGGAATGCCCTTGGGCTTAGAGTATTCCTCTGAGACTAAGGCAAGTGCCAAACCTTCTTCCATATTACAAGGAATTTTGGCCTTTGATGATACTCATCATCCCTGAACTATGGAAAATAGGAGGAAGGATTGGATACAAAGGAAGTCATAAATTTATTCCTCCTCCTGATTTCTGTGAATGCTCCTAAGCTCTCAGAGAGTTTAAACATTGTTTCTTAATCCCTTATACAAAGGAAATTAGTATGCACAAACTCAAAATTAAATATTTGATAGTATTTGAACTAGCCTGTTTGATACAAGATGTGTATGTGTTTTTAAAAGTATGCAATCTCTTGTTTTTAAAGGGTGAGGCCTTAATAAGTATGAAAATGAATGTAAATCTATTCAGTTTGAGTTGTGAGACTAATTTTTTGTAGTGGAATAATAATGCACTGCTTGAAGAGATGAAAAGAAATAGATGATTTCTGAGCCTACTCGTATCTTTTAGTGCCACAGTATTTTTGGCAAAGAA